CAAAAAACAAACATGCCGTCAATAGAGCGATTATTTTATTTACTCAACACCCGCACTATCTGTACTATTTTTCTCTATAATTGAACGCAGTGTTTTGATGGCTTTAGTCTTTTATTACAAAGATATGTTAGAAAAGGTAACAATGCAAAGAACCCAGCAATATTCTCAGCTTTTTCTTTGTTACCGAAAGAACCCAGTTAAATGCAGCGCATGCGTAGTAAGTGAAAAAAATTGCGATTGAATGAAAAATTGCACCGTCGGAAATACGCCTATTTCTCGAAAACCGCTCATTAGAATTTCACGAAAGTTGGCACGAAAATACTTTAGGAAATAAGTAACTGGAGTACTGAAAAAAATTGAACTTTAACAAAGTAAATTCTAGATCAGTTCCGGTGAACCTTCAACAAGGGATGATTAAAGATCTCTCCGTTAGATTATTAGCAAAATGGTGTTAACTTGTGAGAATTATTACAAGCTTGTTGCATGTAAATTATAAAGAAATCTAACGACTAGATTTTCTTCAAATAAACAAAACCGAGTTTAAAAGGCCTGTTTAAATTTATTGATGTTGCCATGGCAACGGTACATACGTCAGCTTAACTATCAAAAAACAAAGTTCGCGTTGTTAACTTGCTTGCTGCTATTTTTGACGACCGAGGGATCAAGGGTTTTAGAGAAAAAGGTGAATGAAACACAGGTATCAAAAACTGTGTTCAGCCACCTGAAGACCGGGGTAGCTAGCGGTTTAATTGGAGTAGAGCCCACGAGCAATCGGCGAGAGCGGCAATACCGCGTGGAGCCTGGTGAGAGACATGTTTCCCGGCCCAAGGCCACTCGCGGATCATGCTCTATATACGGTCCTATACCCCAACCAACTAAAACCGCCAGCTACACAATCTATTTTCAATTGTGAAGTCTATTTACAAGCACCTTCCCGTTCCTTCAATCACGGTGTTTTTCATCCCTCTCATGAGATTGCGTCTGTTTCCTTTCCTTTGGCCCCTCGGCTTCCACTCTCCAACACCCATCCATCTAGTAAATAAGAGGACTTAATCACTGGTTGTTATTGTGTTACAGTATTTGACCATTTTGATCTCTTTGGATAAATAGGAATTTTTGTGGTGAGAAAAACAGACAATTTTAGAGAGACAAGACTGATTAAACAGAAGGGAAGCTGGCTGAGTGTGGTCGGCGTTTTATATTCTCCAGTTTAGAAATTCGTAAATGTATTTCAAATTTTAACGCCAGAAATATAGATTTTTGAAACGGGTAACTGTAGACCGGAAAATTTTCACAGCTACTTCAGTGACAATGCAACGAACTGCGACCGATGGCTACCCCATGATACAGGATGCATTCTACGAGCGCTCTGATTGGCTCTGAAAGATATGTTGAATAAACGAGTACAAAATATTTAAAATCCATAGCCATGTTCTCATAATCCGCGCTGATTTGACTTTCGTATTTCTAAAATTTGATTACAAAGGTGCCCCAAAAGAGAGAGAGGCACTCAATAGAAGAATTAATCATGGGTCCCTTCTTGCTGGGAAAAAGGGGACAGAGGCAATGGGACCTTGTTGCCCCCGACTAGAAGCAGGCTTCCTTTCGGCCTGACATTTTTTATGCTAAAATGTCGGTCTTGACCACAGACTCTTCAAGACATCAAGGAGGAATTTAATGTATTATAAAAGTGAAGAGTAACGTCAGTTTATGCCATCCTGTTCCATGTTTTTCCTCTCCTTGCCGTGAGGATTAGTCTCATGTTTGTTAGTAAGCTCGATTTCCGTCCCTTTCTCGAGTCCGAACAATGGCTGGTAATCAATTGATTGTATCAGCCAAGCTCATAGATATTTCATTATCATTATCACTTTAATGACCTTTAATTTAGTTTGACTTTCATAAAGGTTGAAACAGATTTAATTAACATTACAATATATTCCTTTTTGTGGCTTTAATTTTTTTTTTCCATGCATTGTAGTGGCAAAGCATAAGCACTTCATATCAGTGGATGTAAATAAGTCAGGGGTAGTTGGGTTGTTCAGTCGACAGCCATACATATATACATACATACATAC